TCAAGAGACGGTTGCTTGAATAACCATCTTTCTGTGTCTTGGATGATACCCATCAGAGCCTGGATAAAGTGGCAGAAGGCAAAGAGGTAACAGGAAAATAAAGTCAGAATAAAGATACTGAGAGGGCTTTGAGATCTCTAACCTAGAGATCTGACGCAGGGGAGTGGATTGGCTGCTTTATCTTTGCCTCCATTTATGTTATGCTTGTTGTACTCTTCCTTTAAAAAGTTGATGTGATTTGAAAAAATCTTATATTTCACAGTCCTCAAAAATGTGACTTCCATGCTAAGTAAAGCTATAGGATAAGTTGTATGGGAGAAAAACACATCTTACTGAGAAATGAGAAGAAGACACCGAAAGAAAAATCTCAAGGGCTATTTGGGACTTGATTTGGACTTCTCCATATCTGTCTATATGATGTCCCCCCACATATACTGTACTGTGTTCTTCCCACCATTGGTGCAAAGGCTGTAGAGAGGTGGAATCACAGTCATGTTGTCCTAAAACCACAGTCATCTTATCCTAAAATGCAAAGGTTTGGGGTAAAAGTTTGGATCATATTAAGAAAATTATGAAGGACACAGGTTTCGTCACTACAGTGTTGTTGGATGTCTGGGGATGGCACTGGACTCTGAGCTGTCCCCACTGACCAGATTGCCACTGCAGTTGGCTCTGGCTGGGTTTTAGCCTCAGGGCAGCCCCAACTAGCCATCACCACCAGCAGCCACAACAGAGGCCAGGGTGGGGCTAGAAAGAGTCATCCAGGCCCAGATAAAGCCCAGGTACTGAGGCCTGGGGAGGGCTTGGCATGTGGAAAGCAGCGGCAGGCCCAGAGAACTTATGGCCTATCCCAGCCAGCCTCAAGGCACAGAGTGGCTGGAGGGTGAGGGAGCCTTACAGGAGGAAGAAGGAGAGAGCAATCGCCACTCCCCAGGAAAACACCAGGTGTGGCTAGGGAGGTGGGGATTAGTGGGTGGTGGTGAAGGGTGGGTTTAGACAGCCTCTTTAAAAACGGCTAACATGAGGCTGAGGAGGAAAGAAGCATGCAGCTCTGGACCTGAGAGGTGCTGCTGTCCTGGGATAGAGAAGGAATCAAGTGAAGCAACCTCCTTTTCTCCTCATTCTGAGGCCTTGGAAGACCCTCTGAAAAGGACCCAGCAGGACATCTGAAAGATGACTGATGGAGCTGGAGAGGGTAGAGCCTCACACTGGAGTACCCAGACCTAGATAGCACCTCCCAGCTAACAAAGAGAACCAATTTAAATGTTACTAACAATGAACAAATGTTTAGTGCCCTGAAGAGGAAAAAAGTATGATGAAAAAATGTAGGAAAGGATGGGGGAAAACCCTACTCATTGTCACAAACTGGCTTGACACTATTTGAGAGATTTTCATAATTAATAAAATATCACCACTCAGTAACCAATAATCTCATGTAGTTTATCTTTTATCCCCGAACCAAATAATTTCCATTTTATGTTGTATTAGTGAAGCAAAACAATTATGCAAATGTCAGCAAGGCTGACATCTATCATTTTGTTTTGATGTGAAAATCCATACTTATTTTTATTCATTTTGTTACATAAGCAGTCATATTGACTTAGCTCCAGTATAGCTTTATTATAATATAGGCATCTCCTATCAAGTGTTTATGCATACAGGCAGACACATTGTTCTGATAAGTAGTGGTGCTACTTTCATTCAATGCTCACGATATTCTGATTATTCTGGCATGAGTCCATCACGGATACCCAACCCAATTTGGTTGAGTGTGGCAGTGAAAGAGTTAACGGCATGATAGCTCAGGAAAAAACTCTGTGGTGCCCTCCCTTCCCTTGTTGCCCTAAGCTCATGCTTATTTTGATTAGTGGTTAGTCCAGGGCTGGGGGAAACTCACCTTATTGGATTATGAGTCCTGCGAGGCAGAAGGAGTGGTTTCATGCTTCCCTCATGTGCCGTTTTCACCAGTGGAAATTGCTGTGGGGCCCTATTTGCCCCTTCCTTGGGCTCCATGTGTTCTGTTATGGACACGTAGACCCCAAGGAAAGGGCAAACACCCCCCACAGGTGAAAATGGCATGTGAAGGAAGCCTGAAACCCCTCCCCCCTTTAGTATTCTTAAGATGAATGGAACAATGGAATGCTGTAAAGGTGAGTTCCCCTGATCATATGTGTGGCTATAATTGCTGAATGCCCATTGAATGCCCATTGAAGAACATAGCTGTAAGCATAGCTTTATGATGAAGTGAATCAACAGTATATTTTCAATATGTCACCAAGAGAAATGAATTGTTGAAAGACAGTTTATGTACACATCCTTGTTCAGAAGATCATTGTCGAAACGGTACACCATTCCGGAGACCACCGTCTACATTCACGATATATATTACTTACTTTCTGTTATTGTATATTATGATTTATGAATATAGTACCAAGTGCTAAATTGTCACAGTTCTTTTTTCCTTTTTCATTGGTCTTATTACTGTGCCCATTCTTGTAACTATTCTCTACATCAAGAGCATAACAGTTTGGGGGATGGGGGCAAAGAGAAACAAGGAAAGAATAAACATCTTTAATAAACAACAGGGGAGCGGTGGCACAGAGGATTTATCCTCTGGTTAACATCTGAACTGAACAGAGCTGCTGTCAGTTCTAGCCCGCGCTGGTGTGAGCTACCAGCCTTGTCCCCAGCTCACCGTCCACCCAGCGGTTCGAAAGCTCCGGCGAGTAGATAAAATGGGTACCACTCCTTAGAGAGGGTGGGCACACTAAACCCCTGTGGGGGAGGTGTTAGCCGGCGAACGGAAGGTCCAGTTTGTAAGCTCGGGAGCCTGGAAAAAAGACATCTTCGGCATTAAGAAGCCTGTGATGGGCCAATCCGGCCAGGCAGTGGCAGTGCAGCACTACGACTCAAAGTAGTCCTGGAAGAACTGACGTCATCTAGCCAAGCCGAAGTGAATGCCGTCTGGAACACGCCTGAAGCTTACAGCTGAACAAAATCCCCGTCAGCTGCAAAAGTGTGCAATTTAAAGAATTATATGTTGTCCTCCCTTACCCTATGATTCACTGTTAGTCCCGTGTGAAATCTTGTGTAACTGTAAATCGTGCAGAGCCAGCAGCTCTGCAGGATGAGCGATCAATAAATCGAAAGGTATTATTATTATTATTTTCTTCTATAGTCTGCCAATTCAGTATGTGTTGGAGTGGGGGACTGTGTTTACTGGAATTTTCCAGCCAAAATATTGGATGTGGACCAAGCAATGGCATGAAAGGACAGTTCTCTGTTGCTACCATGGATTTTTATGAGACAAAGTAAACAGGGTGAAATTAGTAAGACTATTGGGAGAGTCAGGGCTTGATACAGGAATCCTTGCCCTATGTCCTTAAATATATACCTTTACTTTTTCCTCTATGTGAGTGCCTGCTATTTATTCCTATGAGAACAGGTACAGTGTTGCACCTGGTGGCACCATCCCTGACATTGGGGGAAAGTGGCTCCCACTGAGATGGCCCACAAAGATGCATTTTGCCCTCTGGGATGCTAGCAATATAATGGATCTCCTTTCTCTGCTCACACATCATGTTGATGGGTCATTTGCTGCCAACATAAGCATGGCAGACGCCAGGAGGACAAACCACATGGCAGCGCACACAGTCATCTCTGAGTTTAATGCACCTCATGCTTTTATGGCTATCCTGACAGATTTACATTTGTATAACATTTGTAAAGGTCTGTTCTCTAACTTCTGTGCTTGTTGCCTTCATGGATAGGAAAAGCCAAGAGCTTCATGGAAAACAAAGTTAAGCCAAATGAGAATCAAAGTCATGACCTCCTCAGTTGAGCTCACAGAACAGTCCTTGGGGCAGCAAAACCTTCCTTGCTTCAAGTCTTATTTAATTAGCTAGTTAAACAGTTCAGAGTCTTCTCTGCTGAAGGGCATCATTTTCAGCAGGGAACTGTTGAAATCATAAGCTTTGGGGAGATGATGCATAGAAGTAAAAATGAGTGTATTTTGTGCATGGTTCATAAGCACTGCAAGGGGTAATCCATGTGTTTATACATACATGTGCATAATGAAATCCAAATGTCCTTCTTTTAAAAAAGAAAAATGAAAAGCAATTTCAAGGGAGTCATTTTGAACAGAGAGGGGAGGGCATGTAACCTTTCCTCCATTGTCTGTCCTTCCATTCTAAATGGTCTCCAAACAGATCCTTTCCCCCAGAGATCCAAGCATATGAGTATTGTCATAAATACAAATCTGGTCCCTTTCCCCTTCTCCACTCAAAATGTCTTTGTCCCCAAACTGCTTTTCACTCTGCAGAAGAATTATCACAGCTTTGTTATATCCATTTACTTGTGACATGTAATTTCCCCTTAAGACTTTCTTTATTTGATGCTGGCTGCAGTTAAGCTGGGTGTGAGAGTTTTTCTTGGGATACAGGGTTGCTAACCTCCAGGTAGGTTAAAACACTGATGCAGAATGGTCTGGTAATTATCAATCTGTATGTACTGAATGTTATTGCTTATTGAATGTAATGAATATTTATACCTGACTAGGATGAAATAATGATACACTATGCACTTTACTAAATGATGACCATAAGTAGAACACATTAGTTTGTTATAAGGTTTTTGCAGTGTATATTTATTTGTTGCTAGATTCTCCTAACACTGCAGCTCGGGTTGCTTCAACCTCCAGGTAGGGCCTGGGGATCTCCTAGAATTAGAAATGCTCTCCAGGCAACTGAGAAAATTGCTCCTTTGGAGGGTGGACTCTATGGCATTCTACCCCAGTGAGCTTTCTCTACTCCCCAAACCCTGCCTTCCCCAGGCTCCACCCCCAAACCTACAGGGACCTCCCAATCCAGAGTTGATTGTCCAACGATCACTGTAGATTTTAAGTGAGCCAGAGAGGCGGCAGCGGCGGAGGGGTAGTTTTCTTCCTGCCCATTTTCCATTTCCGGTTGAGCCTCTGTCTCTGGCAGTGGTGGGTTCCAGAGATGCTGTGGGTCATTCTCCTGTTGGCTGCCTGCGAGGTTGCCCTCCTCTCAGCCTTCTTCCTGTTGCTCTACCTCGCATCGCTGGTGACCAGCCCCAAACCTCTGTTGCTGCCTGCTGCGCACGTCGTGGTAACTGGCAGCTCCTGTGGCACTGGAAAACGTATTGTGGTGGAATGCTTTAAGCAAGGTGCTTTTATAACACTACTTGCAAAAAATGAGAGTCAGCTGTTGGAGGCAAAGAAAGAAATTGAAAAAATATGCAGTTAATGATAAACATAGGGTTGCCAAGTGTGACTGACCTTGCCGGCGGGAGACTCCTGGGTGGATCCCGGCGTGTGCGCGCACGCGCAAAGCATGTGCGTGCCGCATGCACATCACAGGGAAGTGACATCATGACGCCGGGCATGCTGGGGGCTGGGCCACGACCATACAGGGGAAAACCATAGGGTTTTCCCTTGAATGGCCGTGGCCCCGCCCCCAGCGTTCCCAGCGTCATAACGTCACTTCCCTGTGACGCGCATGCCGGGGTGGGGTTCCCCCTGTGGTCCGATTCCCCGGCGTCGGGGAACGGGCCTCTGGGGCGGGGTTTTTTCCGCCCCCCGGGGGGACTTGGCAGCCCTAGATAAACAGGTTGTACACTGCATCTCTGTAGATGTTTTTAAAGACTATGCAAATGTGGAACAGGTCGTAAAACAAGCTCAAGATAAGTTGGGTCCAGTTGATATGCTTGTAAATAGTGCTGGGACATTGGTTACTGGAAAATTTGAAGATCTTGATACCAAGAATTTTGAGGAACTGATCTCTGTCAACTACCTGGGTGGTGTTTACCCAACTCATGCAGTAATTACCACCATGAAGGAACGAAGAATGGGAAGGATTGTGTTTGTGTCATCCCAGGCTGGGCAACTTGGACTATTTGGTTACACAGCTTATTCTGCAACAAAGTTTGCACTTCGAGGATTAGCGGAAGCTTTGCAAATGGAGGTAAAGCCCTATAATGTCTATATAACAGTTGCCTTTCTTCCGAATACAGACACACCTGGCTTTGCAGAAGAAAGTAAGACAAAGCTTTTAGAGACCAGACTTATTTCAGAAGCCTCACCTGTCTGCAAGCCTGATCATGTTGCTAGAATCATCGTTAAATAATAATAATAATAATCTTTCAATTTATTAATCGCTCAATCCACGCGGGACTAACAATGATTAATAGGGGTAAGGGAGGACAACATATATCTTTTAAATCACACACATTCACAGTCGGCGAGGGTTTGTTCAGCTGCGGGTCAGACGTGTTCCATCGGCATATTCACTTGGGCTCGGCTAGATGACGTCAGCTTCTCCAGGTCTTGCAGCGCCGCACTGCCATCGCCTGGCCGGGACGGCCCATTACAGGCTTCTCGGAGTCTAAGAGATTTTTTTTCTTAGGCTTTCAATCTTGCGAGCTGAGCCGGCTAACCTCCCCCACCGGGGGGGCGGGTTGGTGTGCCCACCCTCTCTAAGGAGGGATGCCATACAAGGAAAATTCGGGAGTTCTGTTAGTACTGATGGCCAGTGCTCCCTCTAAGCTGTGGAGTCTCATGAACAAAAATTCTAGTTTGTGAGCTACTGGCATTAAGGTTGTGAGTGAGCGATTTGGCTACTGCATAAATTAGTTTGCTCTGGAGCCATCCTTCCTGAGCTAAGACAAAAATGTGTGAGCCGGAGGCTAAAAAACTGTGAGCTAGCTCACACTAACTCAGCTTAGAGGGAACACTGCTGATGGCCACATGTTGAACGTCATAACTAGTGGAATGTCACCAATGAATTTTCTTGGTGAAGCTCTAGAGGCGGAAATTTGTAATGGTTTTTTCCACCTCGGCCACTACTATATAGCAAGCTTTGACAGCATAGTTTGCGGCTGCATGATACAAGTATATTATTTTTTATCATTTATTTGAAGTTGATATTTTGGTTATTAGAACACACTAGAAACATGTGGCACACAGAAACCTAAAAATCTAAAATGTTGACAACTGCTCCTAATTCTTTCCTCCCATCTGGTTATAAAACTCAGCACAGGTTCTCACAATTTGCCCAATTACTAAATTCTTGTGTGAGGCCTTGAAAGAGACAACAATGGTGGTTGCAGGAACACTGAAATCACAAACGCCTGCAAGCAGAACTAGGCCTTCAGGGTGCTTAGCTTCACAATGGCCCAGCCTAGCCTGATCTCATTAGATCCTGGAAGCTAAGCAAGGTCAGTCCAAGTTAGCTTGGATGGGAGACCACCAAGGAAGTCCAGGGTTGCTATTCAGTTGCTATGTAGAGACAGGCAGTGGCAAACCACCTCTGAATGTCTCTTGCCTTGAAAACCCTACAAGGTCTCCATAAGTTGTCTGTGAGTTGATGGCACTTTCTACCACCATGGTTTGCTCGTGTAATGCACTCACTTATTATCTCCAGTCTGTTTCTTTTAGCTGGCAATGTGTGGTTCTTGGTCCCATCCCTCTTGCCATCCCTTTCACCATCCTCACTTTATGTTCTCTGCTGTTTCTTTGCCTCTCTTGGCCTTTGAAACAGAAGTTCTATACTTAAACATCAACCATGGAACAGTCACACTAAATCATGGATTCACACTAAATCATGGATTTCTCCCATTAAACAATTACCACAGATACTCTTTCTTATACAATGCTACAATATGAAGCACTGAAGTCAATAGACTGCAATAACTCTATACAGGACTGTACTGACAGTCCATTCATTTACCCCCGTGAATCAGTCTATAGGGCTAAAATGAGGATTCCCCCCCTTTTTGTCTCCTCTCCTCTCCTCTCCTCCCCTCCCCTCCCCTCCCCTCCCTTTCCTTTTCAGTCCTGAAGTTCTCTCCCTTCATGTTTTAGTACTTTTAATAAATTGCTGGGATCTGTCTTCCATGTAGTTCTTATTTATCCTTTTGACTTTGAATTTGGCTGCTTTGTAATTTTGACTTTGTTTTTCTCCATCTCTCTACAGGCCCGTAGCCAGGATTTTGTGGCTTGTGGGGCAATTTTTTTTTCTGGTGGGGCTGAAGTTCTCAGTGCAGAAAGAAAAGCCAGAATTCTGAGGGTGATGACTCAGCTACTATGAAATCAAGGTGCTGGTTCTCACCTTTAAAGCCCTTTGTGGCCAGGAACCTATATACCTGAGGGACCACCTTTCCCCCACATATACCCCAGAGAGCGCTGTGATCAGGGGTTCAGAACCGGCTGGCCCTTCCGAGTCTCAAGGAGGCCAGACTAGTAACAACCAGGGCAGGGCTTTCTCGGTGGTGGCTCCACTCTGGTAGAACGAGCTCCCAGAAGAGATCAGGGCCCTGCAGGGCCTTTTACAATTCTGTGGGGCCTGTAAAATGGAGCTCTTCCACCAGGCTTTTGGGGCCACTGCCACCACTAACAATAGCGTGGAGGGGAGGGGCCCCCCCCCCCCGGATCTTTAAATATAGCCTGAGCAAGCTGTCTAAGACAACCTAAGAAGACTAGAGGGCTGACTGCGAACTAACAACCACCACTGTGGAATTACGGAATTATTGCTACTAGCACATTGTTACATTACTAGGAGTAAGGCCCGTTGTGGGAAGAAATGCAATGAGCTCTAGAAGGAAGCTCCAGGTGAGTGCCCCAACTGTGGCTGGTGGGGCGGCATAGGGAAGGGGAAAATAGAGGGAGGCAAGCCATGTTTATTTCCTTCTGCTTAGCTATAAGGGAGGGCTGTCTTATATTTTGCTGCCCAAAGTGGGTAGTATGGGAGGACAGCCTCATGGTAACAGGTATGGTTCCCTCCACCCCTGACTTACGTTGATTTGGGGTTATGCAGTGGCAGCTAATGTAGAAAAGCACCTCCTCCTATGCCATGTCTTCTGGCTTTCAAGGGTCTGGAAAGTGGTTCCATAGCCAGTTACAGGTTTGCCAGCTCTGGGTTGAGAAATACCTGTAGATTTGAGGGGTAGAGCCTGGGGAGGGCAGGGTTTGGGGTGTGAAGGGACCTCAGCAGGGCATAATTCCATAGAGTCCATTGCTCAAAGCAGCCATTTTCTGCAGGAGAACTGATCTTGGAGATCTCCAGGTGCTTCCTGGAGGCTGGCAATACTAAGGGTAGGGCCAGACCTACAAATTTTAGAGGTAGAGCCTGGGGAGGGCAGATGGAGTCCATTGCCCAAAGCAGCCATTTTTTCCAGGAGAACTGATCTTGGAGATCTCCAGGTGCTGCCTGGAGGCTGGCAATACTAAGGGGAGGGCCAGACCTGTAGATCTGAGGGGTAGAGCCTGGGGAGGGCACGGTTTGGGGTGTGGAGGGACCTCAGCAGGGTACAATTTGGGCAGTCCATTGCCCAAAGCAGCCATTTTCTCCAGGAGAACTGATCTTGGAGATCTCCAGGTGCTGCCTGGAGGCTGGCAATACTAATGGGAGGGCCAGACCTGTAGATCTGAGGGCGTGAGCCTGAGGAGGGCAGGGTTTGGGATGCAGAGGGACCTCAGCAAGGTACAATTCCATAGAGTCCATTGCCCAAAGCAGCCATTCTCTGCAGGTGAACTGATCTTGGAGATCTCCAGGTGCTGCCTGGAGGCTGGCAATACTAATGGGAGGGCCAGACCTGTAGATCTGAGGGGCAGAGCCTGGGGAGGGCAGAGTTTTGGGTGTGGAGGGACTTCAGCAGGGTACAATATCATAGAGTCCGCTGTCCAAAGCTGCCATTGAGGAAATTTTCTGTAGGGCAAATGATGTGCTGTGGCTGGGGAACACGCTGATTTCTGGGAGATCTCCAGGCCCCACAGGGAGATTGGCAACTCCAGTGACCATTTAAGGGAAGATTGGGATATGTATTTTGGCATCTCCAATGACTGTTTAACAGGGCTGTAGCTAAAGCCTTCGTAGTGGGAGGGCCCTGGGGAAAGTGGGGAGGCTGGAGTGTGTGTGCGCACGCGCCACCCACACACGTCACCCGGAAGTGACACCACACACCCTTCAACCACATCACGCTGAAAAAGTCCCACTTGTGAGTCTATCTCGGCAACGACGTTTGGTGTTTTCACTGCCTGTTTCCTGTTCAGACGCTCTCTCTCTCTTTCTCTCCCTCCCTCCCACCGGTCTGTTTCTTAAAGGCCCCAATCCACAGACCAACCAAACCAATAATCTCATTTGTCAGATTGGGATGAAGTCAACCGGAATCTGCCCCTAGTTTTACAGGTCTTCACCCTCTCAACCGAGAAAAGAAAAACATCGTGGCAGTCGAGGACAAAGGGTGAGAGCATCCATTCCCCCGCCTCCGTTTCTTCAAAACGAATTAAGAAGGTGGTGGAGGAAAGGCGCAGCAGTAGAGAAGTGGTGTCCTTTGAAGCTACGAATCCGGTGGATCTGGACCCTTCTCTGCGCTGCGGTCCCGGGGGCCCTGGCTCTTCTTTCATTGGGAACTGGCGCTCTACCCACTAAACAGCACGTCCCGCATCCCGATGCTTACGGCAGCCGGAGCGCAGTCGAGCTTTTTTCGGAGGCGCCGAAGACTTGTTTCGACCTGGCAGGAGGGTGGAGGCCAGGCGGGCTCGAGTGGGGAAGCTCGCCTGAAGGGAAGCACGGAGCCAGCACTTTCTAGTGCGCCCACGGCCTGATTGTAACCTCGCCGTATCGGCGGGAAGTCCCGTTGGTTTCAAGGGGGTGGAACTTCAGGGCCACCCAAAAGCGAGAGCGCCCCAAAGCCTGGAGTCCCTCCTTGGCCGCGCCTTTCTCCCTTGGCTTCCCTTTCCCTTTCCCTCTCCCGCTGCTCTCTCCTCCCTCGTTTGCCGAAGCCGCCTGCAACCGACTTCCCTTCCCTCAGGAGAAGCTGCTGCGGAAGCACCTGAAGCCTGGTGGCCCGCCCTGGTTAACCGCCCATCGCCGCCGCGGGCGGAGGGGGAGCAGAGGATCGGGAGGGAGGGCCCCTGCAAAACCAGCGGGGGAGGCCAGGCCCCATGGGCCCCACGCAGGCTACGGGCCTGCTGTTTAAGGGAAGATTGAGATATGTATTTTACCTCAGAACACATTCAGTGACTCGCAACCACAAACTGTTTAGAATGTTAGAGGCAAAGGCCAATCAGGCCGTATATGCAAATGACCTCTGTGTTCCGACTGGCTATTGGGGGGAGAGGAACAGCAAATTGTTTAGAATATTGGAGGTGAGACTCAGGCAATGCAGCCAGTGGGCATGGACAGCTTCTGAGTGACAGATCAGGGAGCGAACTGATTTGGGAGTGTGTGGAATGTTCAGGAGGGTCCATGACCAAAACAGAATTATTATATAGAGAGAATGGTTTTAGCATTGTTTAATTGTTACATGTTGTTCTTAATCTATTTTATGTCTATTGTAATAATTTTAGGTGTTTTATATAAACCACCCTGAGCCAGCTTCGTCCGGGATGGCGGGATAGAAATCTAATAAATCAAAGGACGGAACGGGGGCGGAGCAAATGGGCACGATCCCATGGCAACATCTGGGAATCGTTGCCTGCCCGTCCCTGTTCCATCCCAAACGGCGATACCACGCTGTAAAAAAGAACCACCTAGGCTGCTGCCACACGGGACGGATGAAACACGGCTAAGCAAAGCCGCACCGAACTTGAGACGCCGCGGCGGGATCCCACGGATCCCCTCAGCCGCGGCGCATCGCTCCCCGGCACGATCAGATGCCGGGGAGGAAAGTCCGATGGGAGGGGGAGGCTGCCGAACTGCGCATGCTCGAGCATGCGCAGTATGCCCGGGGGCCGGGATGCGGCGGCGCAAGGACGAGCCGCCCGATCCCACGGCCCGGCTTGCGGCACTGGAAGGGATACAACCACCTAGTTAGGTGGTTCTTTTTTACAGGGCGGTATCGCCGTTTGGGACGGAACAGGGACGGGCAGGCAATGATTCCCAGCTGTTGCCGTGGGATCGTGCCCGTTTGCTCCGCCCCCGTTCCGTCCTGCTCCCGGCCCAAAAGGCCTCGTATGGACAGGACCTGGGTTTGGCAAGTAAACTCACTCCAGTTTGTATAAAAACACATAAAACTTTACCAAGATAGATCTCTAAATTGCAAGCTGTCAACCACTTTAGATGACAGTTCTCAGCTGCTGCATGTTAATCACTTCTGCCAGCCTAAGCAACAATTCCAATAACAAGCCAGCAGGTGGTGATGATAAAGTCAAGAAAGCTAACATTTAGGCAGAAAACCTCTCTTAAAGCAGACCAGTTTCTTGACACAGAGTTAAAAGGGATCCTAAAGGTCACCTACTCCAACCTCCTTGCTCAGAGCAGGAATTAGGCAATGACAGCACCCCATTCTGCTTTAAGGCCCACATGCCTTAAGAATATTTAAAATGATGGGAAAAAGCATTTAGCGGAAAAATTATTGTGCCCCCCCCCAGTGCCATCATAGGTATGGGCCTGTCTTTTTATTGGCTTTCATGAGGTAGCTTCATTTATTTATCTTGGAAGTCTATTGTGCATGTTTTTCCTTCCAGGAGTCTCATTTTCAAAATTAGGTGTCTTCCATCTGAATCTCTTAATTCTTCTATTACTTCTAATTGTGAGTTATTTATGTAAAAAGCTACTCCACATTTTTTAATGCTGGAACAATATATGCCTTGCCCAATTTTTTAATTGTTTAAAATATGTTCATGTTTCTTCTTTATATGAGGTTCTTGTAGGTATAATATATCAGCATTTTATTTTTTTTCAAGTGGTTGAAGATCTTGGTGTGTTTCAAAGGAGAATTCAATCAATTGATATTTATTGATACTATATTTATTTTATCAATTTTGCCCTGATGTTGTTGCCACATCCAACTTATCCTTTCCTGTGCTTGTTTCTTTGGAGTTTTTGGTCTGTGAACTTTGCTTTGAGCTGCTTGCAAATTGTTCTGAGTTACTTGGAGATTGTCCTTCTGTTCCTCTGTGTAAGTCCTCTGCTTGCAGTTCTTCAGCCAACTGCTTGGCTTGTTCCTCTATTGTGGTTACTTTTCTTCCTTTTGGTAAGTATACCTCTATTGCAAATGGTATTTTCCAATTATATTTTATTTATTCCTTTTGTAAAATCTGCCTAAAAAAATCAAAGTCTTCCCTGTTCCTTAACATACTTGTTGGTAAATCCTGAAATAACTGCACTTCTTTTAAAGGTTAAAGCACTTGGGGCTTTTTAGCTTGGAGAAATGATGACTGAGGGGTGACATGATCGAAGTTTATAAGATTATGCATGGGACAGAGCAGGTAGAGAAAGAAGTACTTTTCTCCCTTTCTCACAATACAAGAACTCGTGGGCACTCCATGGAATTGCTGAGCAGCCGGGTTAGAACGGATAAAAGGAAGTACTTCTTCACCCAAAGAGTGATTAACACATGGAATTCACTGCCACAGGAGGTGGCGGCGGCTACAAGCATGGACGGCTTCAAGAGGGAATGAGATAAACATATGGAGCAGAGGTCCATCAGTGGCTATTAGCCACAAGGTATAGATAGGAACTCTCGGTCTGGGGCAATTGATGTATTCTTGGTGCTTGGGGGGGGGGCAACAGTGGGTGGGCTTCTAGTGTCCTGACCCCACTGATGGACCTCCTGATGGCACCTGGTATTTTTGGCCACTGTGTGACAGAGTGTTGGACTGGATGGGCCATTGGCCTGATCCAACATTGGCTTCTCTTATGTTCTTATGTTCTTTTACCGCAACTGTCCAAAGTCCCCCCAGTCCAGTCCAGGCTAAGGACCTTTGGGTGGAAGGGCTACAGCACAACAAAATTATAAAATCCTAGTGTATGGCTGCCCACACACTAGTCTGGTAGGCTACCACCAGCTCTTTTTAACTATCCCAATGGTTTTGAAGCAAAAGGGCAAGCTCCTAGCCTTTCTGGGATTTAATCAGAAAGTCTACCCTATAGCGTAGATCTGCAGAACAAATTTCCAAACAAAAGCCAAGTACCTGGTAGATGGTCACTGGGTTTAAAATACTGGAATTAGATTGAGATCAGTTGAAAGCAAACACCACATGCAAATAAAATATAATTATTTTTATTAAGTTGCAAGAATATTTTAAAAGAACAAGACTTTGAGGGAAAACAAGAAATCTAAGAATTAAAATGCTAACTAACACAGTAATACAGTAGTTCCAAGTTACCAGATGTTATCCCATCTCAGGTTGAAGGCTCTCAGAATCAAAGCAGCTCTCTCTCCAGGGTCAGCCAGGGCCAGCAAGATGTTTGACCCTCGCAAGCAAGCAATCAAAATGGCTGCCAAGAGCATAACAGCAACTGCATGGTGTAGTAGCGCACAGTCACCATCAAGCACATGCTAAGCTGAAATCCTAACTTTTTATGAGTAAGGGTCCAATGTGGACCCAGGCCTGAAGGACCAGTAGAAACCCTTAGAGATGATGTAACTCCCTGTTGCTGGGCAAATTACCTATAGGGTGACTTGACCAGAATGAAAGGAATCAAATTTACTGCAGATTGTCTCAGCCCCTTTCCCACAGGTGAAACCCATAGACCTCAATTGGTTGGGATGTGTTGATTGGAAGTTGGTACTAGGCACTCAATTCCTCTGCACAGCAGCATGTTATCTAAAAATAACAAGGTCAGCTTGCTTTACTTAACAGTGTCTCTTTCTATCTCCAAAAACTCACACTAGGACGCATTTAGGGTTGCCAGACTCCAGGTGATGGCTGGAGATCTCCTGGGATTACAATGGATCTCCAGGCAACAGAGATCAGCTCCCCTGGAGAAAATGGCTGCTTTGAAGGGTGGACTCTGTGGCATTGTACCATGCTGAGGCCCCTCCCCTCCCCTCCCCAAACCCCACCCTCCCCTGGATCCACCCCCAAAGTCTCCAGGCATTTTCCAACCAAGACCTGGCAACCCTAGCCACATTTGAGGCCTGCACCAGTGTTCACAATAATTTTTCCACCATTTCTTCAATTCTCTGGTCTTCATCTATACTCCTTTTTTGTTTTTCTCTATGACACGTTCCTGTTGCCATTTTCCTTTTCACTCTTCTCTTTTTAAAAATATTGCACACACTTTCCATATATTATTTCCACATACTGTTTTCTGTGCATATTCCAAATGCACAACAATAAAAGTTTATACTATTTAAATCACTCAGCTAAAGTGTATGTCCATTAAAATAAAAAAATGGTATTATCTACAGTTCTTATTTTAGAAAGCTAAATGTAGCACGTAATGAATGTTCTGAATGAATATAGTATAAATTAAAGATACCTTATCTAATTATTAAGTCACAAACATCAATATATCACCAACAGAACAGTTTTTTCCTATTAAAATTTAATAAAGCAGGGGAGAAAGCTGATAAATGACAGGGGGGGGGAAGGTTGAAGGAGAAAGGGAGGGGGAGCAATAAGGAAGCAGAGGGAAAAACCCAGCTTGATTCGTCTAAGGACTTCAGGAAAAAACAAACCAATCAGTATTTTCTTGTT